GGGGGAGTTGCCTTTAACTTCAATAGATATATGACTCAGCTTAATTCCTCCTGTGGGACCTGTCAGTATGTAAAGATTCCTTGGGGGTTAATTGCTTGCAGAAGAGACTTTGCCTGGGATCTAAAAGGAAGGCGCAAATTGCACAACTGGAGCCTTAGTTATGTACTGCAGCCTGGAAAAGACACTGTCATTTAAAGCAAAGGGATCTCTTTTTTCAGCAATTCTGCATCTTAAATTTGGTCATTCATTAATTTAGCGTTTATCTTAGAGAGCCACTTCCTTTGCCATCTTGCCCAGTAGCTGTGGAAGTGGGACAAGTGCTTTTATGTTTTACTGAAATTATTCCTTTTGGCTTTTTTGTTTGTACTCTATTTCAAGAGTCCTTTGTATAAAAAATAAATTACTACTTTGAAGCAGACTTTTAGAAAGTATTTATAAAAGAAACATGAAAGAAATAACTGTTGCAGGAGTGGAAGAGAGGATTTCTAAACTAAGTAGATAGAAGCATTCTTATTCAGACTTTTCAGATTTATGTATGTGACTTCATTATATAAATGTGCCCTTTGCTATTCTGAAAAATCTAAGATATGTATCACTACCAATTAAAAGCCGGGAGAGGTTGCTCCTTCATCTTTAAAACTCTATATTCATTCTCCCATGTCACATTTTTTTGTAATCCTTTCCCACCTGTATTACACTTGGAATAATCCTTCTCACTCCTTGTCACATGTGCATTAAACCTCTTTTAAAGAACAGACTTAGAGCTTCTAAAACAAGCATTTCATTTTTGTTGTGCTAAGTGTGATGTCAAATCACTATTAGAAATCTCATGCATATACCAATCTGGAATTTCTTCTGGAAGTTCCTTCCTTCATAAATTGCTGTACTTGGTCAACCATAACATGTACTGCTGGCACTGCCTCTCTGCTCACTGCAGCTTTTGTTGTTCATCTGGAGGCAAAACATTAGCCTGTAAATAACAGAGTATATAGCTCAGTCTTCCAGAAATACCCATGCAAGTGTTATGGATTTGTTTGCATTAGCAAGGATTCTCAATGGCAAATGGTAATAGTACTCTCATTTTGCTTTTTTAGGATTGTAGAAAAACCTTAATATAGGAAGGACTAATCTCCTGGAACTTTGGTTTGTAACTTTGAGGAAATACTATGGCTTGTATGAAACTGAAAGGGTTTAAGTTTATAGCTGGAAAAGGGATTTGCCTTTTTTCTAATGGCAGTTCAGTTGATAAATTCTGTTTTGAATCAGTTTACTAGATCTTGGTGTGATGGCACCTGAACACTATATACAATTTATCAGCCTTCAAAAATTCAGATTAAGAAAAGATTTTGTTAATGATTGGTCTCCAGTACAGGAAGTTAATCCTGTTCTCAGACACACTCTTTAGTGCACTGCATCCAAGCTTCTCTGAATAGTATGCACATGTGAAAGGGCTGACTGAATCAGTGAACCTGCAAGATTTGGAAGAGGGTTTTACTGCACTACCAGCAGAAAAGCTAGGATGAACAAGTCTGGAAGATTAGAACTATTTACTTTCAGAAACTTGACAAATGTCTAATTGACTAGATACAGTTATATCTGTAACTGCAATTTTCTAGGTATTTTCTTCCTTAAATGTAGTGACATTTAAAAAATACAACATGCAATATAAATTCTTATTATCTAAAGTGAGTTTTAGTGTGGCTTTCTAAAGAAATTAAGTTTTTGTGAGCACTTTGTTAATCTGTCAATACCTTCTTTGGTATCTTTCTAGCTCTTCAAGACTGTTTAATCTGTTGATGAACTTCAACTACATTTAAAAGATGGTTTCAGATCTCAGTTATCAGTTATTTTTTAAGTTTCCAAAAAACTGTTGGCTGGATAAAGGAAAGACCCAAATGAGTGGCTCAATTCAGCTCAACATTTTTTTTGTGCTTTGTCTTTTTGTCCAGCTGGTCGACAGAGGACACCTGAGGAACTGAAGGTTCCTTTCTCTGAGAAAGCAGAGGTTGTGGATTAAAAAGTATACTCAGAAGGAGCGTGATGCATATACCTTGGATATCTCTGGAAAGAAACTTAAAGGAACATAGGAACACAAACCCATTGAAACTCAAGGCTGAATAACACTATTAGAAGTTTTTAAGTGACCAGCACCAATCCTTACAGATACCAGGGAGGCTCTGCATTTATTTCTCCTTTGCTTCCCATGCCCAGCACTGTAAAGCAACCACCTTGCCCCCTCATTTGAGTCATTATTCCAAACTCACTCCTTCCATGGGATGTACCAGAAAGCTGTGGCTGCAAGAGCAGGGGTGGTGGCAGGCTGTGCCTGCTGCTACTGACTGCTGGAGACTTCTGTGGTCACTCCCAGTTATTTGCTACCTCATTTGACCTGCATCCCTTAAGCCCATTTGTTTGCCTCACCCCCTAACTACACCTTGCCTTTGAGAGTGTGTCTGTACTGCTCTCCAGAGAATTAATTACATACACTGCATGTGCAGTCACACCAGTGTCGGAGGAGAGGCAGTGGGGCTGATGGCCTTTGCTAGTTCTTCAGGGATCTGCTCTGCCATGAAATCTGTCTTGCCCCAATTTCTCTTGGTATCTTACCTGAGCTTCAATAAAACTGTTGAAATTATATTTACAATTCCAGTCCAAGTGTAGAAATATTTTTTGAACAATAAACTTTCTGAGCAAGGTCTACCAGTTTGTATAGGTCTTTGCCAGGAGTCATGACACAGGGCTTTTAGACACTGTCTTACAAAATTTTTCATGTAATATACGAACTCTGTTCAGATTGTGCATAAAATGTTGTTTCTGCTGTTAAGTTTGACGAATAGCAGCAAGCCAAAAAGTTGTCCAGGTCTTGGACAGAAATGGAGCCTGGGAACCAAGCGTGAGTTTGATCAATGAGCCGTGCAAACTGCACTCGTGAGCGGGGCATACGGACCTAGGGACGGAGAGGCGGGGCGGGGCACCATGGAGGAAATGTTTAAGCTCCTAAACGTGACCATCGCCGCGCGGCCGCTTTGCTCCGCCGGTGGAAGGAAGGCAGGCTCCTTGCAGCCAGCGGCACCGGCGGGGGGCAGCGGCGCGGGCGGAGCGGACCCTGCCGGGCGCGGGGGCGGCGGGAGCAGCCCAGCCCAGCCCAGCCCCGCCCCGCCCCGCCCCGCCCCGGCCCGGCCCGGCCCGGCCCAGCCCGCCCCGCCGGGCGCCGCTGCCATAGCGATGCGGGAGCGGGCAGCGGCCGGGACGCGCGGCGGCGGCGGGGAGCCCCGGCTCTGCCCAGGTAAGGGCGCTGCTCCGGGGCTGCTGCCGCAGGCTACGAGCTGGGTTTTTAATCTCATCTCGTTGTGTTTGTTCTCCCGCCTCCCCCACCCGCGCCCCTTCAGCCCGCTCAGGTGCAGTTTCTCCCAGAGCCGCTTTCTCTGGGAACTTCTTTGGCGAGAGCAGCGGCTTGTGCTCGTTTATTGTTGGGTGTTTTCTTTCCGCGTGGAAAGTTGCGAGCGGTTCCAGGGCTCAAGGGCCGGCCGAGGGTTGGGTGGCCGGCGGGCTTTTGTCCGGCGTGGTGCCGCGGCGGCGGGGCTCGGCCCGGCTCTGCCCTGCCCTGCTGCCCGGCAGGCTCCGCCGCGACCCCGTCACTAGCGGGGATTAACAACTGCGGCGGGGATGTTCCGGGCGTCTTGCTGAAGCGCGAGCAAATCCTTTTATCCGCAGAGGAGCAGAGGCTCGCAAAACTTTGAAAGTGCGCTCAGGAGGAGGGAGCAGCCCGAAAGGCAGCGGGCAGGGCTCCGCAACTGCCGCGTTTCACGTGGAGGTGGGACTGGCTGTGCGGGTCCCGCCGGGCGCCCGGCCGTGTCCCCGCGATGGAACCCCCGGCTGGCTCCTGCACCTCCTGCCGCTGCCCCTCCGCCTCGCCCAAGTCCCCGCGGCCCTTGCGATGGGAAAGAGACAAAGAAGGGTCCGGGGTCTGCCGCCTTCCCAAAGCACAGCTGTACACGTTCTCTCCTTGTTTCGGGTGAGGGGGAAATCTCCCCCGCCGCCTCCAGGACCCCGCAGACAGCGGCAAGTTTTCGAAGATCCCACTGTCCCTTGCTGAAAGAGCCGTGCATAAGCTTTGTTTTTAAGGTGGAGCCAGCTTCAGACTGGGCATCCCAGTGGTTTTCGGGGCATTGTTTATCATGGTGGGGAAAACGTCTGCCTGGCTAAGATCCCTGGCTGGGGCAGGGGACGCATGGCCGGTGGTCCCCCCACGGCTTTCCCAGGCACTGGAGTGTGATCTGGTCTGCTGAGCCTCCCAGCTCAGCTGAGGAGATCCTTTACAGCATGTCCCAAATGCTCTAGTCACTTTCAGGTTTGAGTTTTCATTTTGTTGTCACCATAGCATAGGGTGGCTTCTGGATGTACTGCTTTTAATTCTTGCTTTCTTTTGTAGGGAAAAAGACTTTGCTGTGCACTTGATGTAATTTCTTAGAATTTTATGTGCCAGGGGACACACAAGTCAGTCAAGTGTCACACAGAAAGCAAGTGTAGGAAAAATAATGTCTGTTTTCCTCTTCCTTGCCTCCTGTTTGAGAGTTAGGTGTCCCTTGATGAATGTGTTTTAGATGAAAACCTCCCATGTGTCTTGGGACTCAGTGCTGAGCACATGAGAAGGAAGACTGGATTGGTGTTACTGGGAGTTTCTTTCCCTTATGTGCATATGAGGATTGCATTTACTATTGTAAGGTAGCTGTGCTAGTCATAATGAATTTATTAGCTGATTAGCATTAGAGAAACAAGTACATATTGAAATTATTCTGGTCTCTTAAATTGCTGACAAATGCAATTATACTTTGAGGGAGTGACAAATGCCTTCTCTGCACCCCTGCAACACACCTTTGTTCACCATGAAGAGCTCCTTCATTTTGTGTCTTTATTTCCTACAATATAGCTGAAACTTCTTTTTGTAGGAGACTTTGTAAGAAAACTTTTTAATGTTGGCTTTTGTTTTCTTGATGCAGGCAGCACCACCTGAGGAGCTCAGCTCACCCAGTCGATGTGAAGGCAAGGCAGACCAAGGTGCAGCAGATGAAGGGGAGGCAGAGAGGTCAGCTGGTGGGGACAGCAGTGTTGCTTTGAGCTACCCCAGCCTCCACCTCCATGCCTACAGCATCGAGAGCATGACAACATTTCCGAATGGCTGTGGAAATGGCACCACCGTTACTTGTATAGTTATGGATAATAAAGAGCCCCAAAACCAGACTACCTGTGCCAGTCATAATGGGGGACACAGCACCAGCAACAGTGTTGAGGAGGAATTTCAAGAGGACAAGCTCAGCCCTTCCAAAATCATGCGCTTTTTCACCACCCCTCGGAAACGGGCTAATTCCAGCTCTGACAGGCCTCGTTCTCTGGTTTTGATGGGCAACTCATCTACGTGGAATGCCTTTTCTTCTATCAGAAAGATGGGATCTTTCAAGAAGTTGAAATCTTCAGTTCAGCAAGGAACTCAAACAAGGGAATGCTCAGACGTTGTAAACGACAACAGCATAGGCAAACATGGTTCAAATGGAGCAGTGGTGCAAGTTCAGACTAACAGGTATTCCTATTCGGGGCCTCTGCATGATTTCCAGAATGCAGTAGATGGTTTGGCTTCTGACTGCTCTGATGTGGAGGAGAGCGATGAGTCCTTCCTGAGGAACACTCATCGCTCACGCAGCATCAGGCGGGCTTATGGTGCTGGCCGCATCAACTTGTTAGACACAGATAAAATTCAGAGTCGCCACAACTGTGTTAGGCCAATGTCACCTGTCATTGCAGAGCCAAAGATCTGTGAAATTCTGGTGAAAGACTCCGAAAACAACAGGATCATTTATTGGAGAAGCAAAAGTTCTGATAATTTGAACTTTCTGAAGAAAAGCTCATTCAAACGGAAGTCCACCTCAAACCTTGCTGATCTGAAGGTTGCAAATGAAAAACAGATACCAGCAAGGACCGCGAGCGTTCCTTCTGCTGACTCCGACAAAAGTGATGGAAACCCTGAGAGGCGATCCAAGCGATGGAAGAGCCCTATCAGAGCAAAGGATTTTGATCGAGTTTTGAAACTCGTCAGTAACGTTACAGATGTTGCAAGGAAGAAGGATGGCCCCAAGAACGTGGCTCCTTCTCCTGGTGAGCTGTCCCAGAGAACAAGGTCAAACAGCAGGCTGCATGATGACTACTCCCGCAGGGTTTCCAGCAGCACGGACCATGACAGGAAGAGAGGCACCTCCTCAGTATCCAGTCCAGACTCTTCCTTGCCAGGAACACCTTGCCTGCAAAGCCCTGTGATTGCTCAGGATAAAAAGGCTGAAATGAATGTAGCTGTCCCTGAGGATAAAAGCCCCAGGACGTCATCAGGTATCCCAGACTCTGATAGCTTTTCACCTACTCTGGATGACATTAGTCCATTTCCAAATGAAGTCTTTTATTCGGACTCAGATGAACCAAAAGCTACTCAGCACTGTGCAGATGAAGCTGAAAACCTTCATGTTCCAGTCAGGCCAACTACTCCAAAGCCTCAAAGTCCAACTGCAGGGAAGGTCAAGTGCAGTATGAATTTCCAGTGTCCAAACCATCACAGCACGTTGTCACTGAGCTCATCGGAGAGCGAGGAGAGAGTTGAGGTACCGGGGCTGAAGCTGGGCAGGAATCCTGTTTGCTTCCAGGACTCAGTGAAAACTGTGTATTATGATGATGGAAATGAAGACAGTGGCATAAGCAGCCACTCTCAGCTGAGCCTCAATTTAGCCTCTAGTACTGAAGAGAAAAAGGAAGAGGTAAGAAAGAAAGAAAAATCCTTCAAAAGTGATGTATATTCCCTGTTGGGTTTTGTCTTTATTAATGCAAAACAATGCAAAGTAATGGCTGCTGCAGCTTGTTATTGCTAAAATATGCTGACAGCAATTATTTCCTTTAAATATTCTCTTTGGATGCTAATATACAATTATTTTTTCTTTGCACATTAATATCAAAGGAAGTTTTGGCTGCAAAGGTATTCGTGTGCGTTTTCAAGGGCAGTTCATTGCACCGTGAAGATACACCACCTTGTCATGTGGCCTTGTCAGACTTTACCAGCCTGAGCAGGGTCTGACTGTGTTTTCTTCACAACTGAAAGGTCTTTTTACTTTTAAAGCATCCGTGTATTCTGAAGTAGTGTTGACTTACTGTAAAACACTTTGTCTGTGGAAACCTTGCAGAACATGGTAATATTTGTAGAGCAGTGGGGTGTGAAAGACACAGTACAGAGGTTTAAGCATTCAGCTGTATCCAATGTTTTCCCTGTGTAGTGATGACCATACTGAGGGTAAACTGCTTGCTTATTCCTTTGCTTGCCAACTGCAGACAGCAGTGCTTCAGACACTGGGCTGAGTGTTTTGCTACTGTTGTTTTGGTGAAGACACGGCTGTTCTCACTGCACCTGATGAGTGATTTCATACTCTCAGTGAATGGGTAAATGGATATATTGCAGCACCTCTGAGGTAAATTCACATGATTACCCTGTGCCCCCACCTAAAATATGGTGTGAATTGGCACCAGAGAAGTTGCAATGATTTGGCAGCCTTGGTGAAAAGCTGTCACATAACCCTGCACCTGTCTGAAGCAGTGAAATTTAGCTCAGCCCCAGCTCACTGTGGCAAATATCCATCTGGATCTGTATAAATATGCAAGTTATTCACCGAATGTAGCTGACATATCTTTTAAGCCACTTCAGTTTGACTAAAGTATCTTAGACCTTAGGTATGAGATAGGCAAGGTGATGCTGCAGCTGCACAAGCTCCAGCCTTTCATGCTGTGAAGTTTTAAAATGTCTGTGAAGCTGTCCTACTTTTAAAGGCTTGGCACAGTTTTTGCAGACTAACTGCAAAAAAGTGGTTACAGAGCTTATCAGTATTGTCCTTCTGCTGGAGAAAAGCAATTTTGTTTACTGTTGTGTTTGCAGCGATGGTAAGATTGAAAAAATAAACTCAGTGTGTATAAATGTCTGGGATCAGAGTTTATTCCTCTTCTGGAATCATAGAATTACTCCAGCCATCCATATTTTCCAAAACTTCCACTTATATGCAAGGAGAAGCTTTCACACTGCCAGAAGAGGCAAGAGTCCTAGTGTGAATAGATGCCAGTTGTATTTCTCAGGAGTAAAATGGGAGGTGGAATTAATGCTACTCATCTACCATCTAGTGGTGAGCTGCTGTCATGACCCAGAAGAAATTGATCTGGTCCTTCCCAACAAACCAGTACAGTTTTTACATGAATGTGTGTACGTTGGGTGGATAAAAGTTACTGCAGTTTTTGGTTTTAACACCACATTCTGTTATTATCTAACATGCAATTTAACCTTTCTCTTTATATTATAGCATTTTTAGGGTAATTGTGAGTGTCCTTTAGTGCTTGGTTCAGTTGTCTAAAATACAGAGTGTGCACTGGTGGCAGCTCTGGGTTTGTGTAATGGGCAGGCAGACAGTATGGGATAGATCCCAGCAAAAGATGGAGGCGGTGGTGGCCAGGGAACAGGCCCTTGGCTGTAAGCCCTCACTCTGCTGTGAGCACTGCCTGGAGCCCCTGTGCTTTGTAAAAACAGCTGTGGCATAGCTGCATCCAGGCAGAACTCTCTTCTAATGGAAAAAGCCAAAATTTTTGGAGGTGGTAAGTGTGGGTTGGAAGCAGGAGCTGTGCAGGAGAGAGTCTACTTTTATCTTGCTATACAAGGGGTATAAAGTCTGTTATTTCTTTTTTCCATGCCTGTTTCTCATCTCATACACAACCCTAAAGCTGTGGCACTCAGAGTGACTGCCAGACAGGTAGAGTGGTATTGTTTCTTCCTACCATTTCTTTGGAGGATTCAATTTCCTGCTTTACAGCATGCTTCCCTCAGCATGGAACTAGCTTGGCACCAAAGATATTTATGCCAGGTTATTTTTTTTAATTGGAATTTATTCAGCCTGTAGGCACTTTTATGAATGCCACATACTCACACAATGAGGTCACTGGGGTTTGAACTTTTGACTACAATTCATTTTTACCTTACACCTCCGCGTTGCAGAACCGTACTTGCCCAGCAAGTTGTTCTGTGATGGCTGAGTGCTTAGTTCACTCTCAACAATCATTTGAGATGTGGTGTGGAGCCATGGGCATCACACATTTTCAATTTTTTGTCTGAATCTTAAATACACTGTGTTGATGGACAACTCTGCACTGTTTCCATGTTTCATGGATCTGCCTTTCTGTCCAGATTTCATGTATAAGCCAGTATGTATTCCAGTACAGCCACTAAAGCTTGAAGACATATTTTGATATAAAGCTTAGAAGGTCCTAACCAGTCAGGCTCAGATAAGTTCTCTTTTTGGGACTGGCTGCTGTAGCTGGAAGCAAGTATAATTTATTTCCTTACTCACTCATCTGATAGATTAGTCAGCAAATGAAATCTGTGGAATTTGAACAATCTCTATATTTTCCCGAATATGGAAACTAAATATTTCTACCTTGTGTTTCCCCACTACTGTAAAGCTGATTTTGCAGTATTCCTGCAAGGACATCTATTTGTTCATCAGAATTGATATTTTGCGTTGGTTTTTTTTCCTTACATGATTGAGTCTTGAGATCCTGTCACTTCTCTTTGTTGGTTTCACTAAAATGCAGGATTTGGATTGAAGCAGGGGAAATTTCTTGGTTTTTGGTCCTGACAGAGGTTGTTTCCCAGGGAAGAGCTAATTAAGTGCAGCATGAATCCGTGCCTCAGCACTTCTGAGGCTACAGAGGTGTGAGTCACTAAAGCTCACCTGTGACATCCCATGCTTTGCCACCGTCTGCTTCATGCTACTGTCATTTATATTCAATATGTTGCTTTTAAATGGCATGAGGAGATGATTAAATACAAGCTTGTACTTGTGTGGAGTGTTTTACATAGTCTTTGCTTTCATGAAGGAAGAGCCCCATGTCACTGGAATAGTGAAAACTTAGTCTGTTTCAGACTGGCATGTGTCAGCCACTAAAGCTGCCTGAACAAAATACTGTTCTGAATTTGTTACAAAAAAGTAAGAGTCAAGTTACTTGACATTTCACCTAGTCATTCACAAACTCTTAGATCATGTGGTATTTAGGTTGCCTTGCTGGCATCTGGCTTCACAGTACACCAGACTTTTTATTACTTGAGTACCTTATCTGCATGACCATAAGTGCATGATAAATTACAGTGAAGAGGTAACTCTGCTGTAATTACGATTGAGTCACAGTTTATTTGCAGACAATATTTTACATGTTCTAAGACCTGTCTGTCAACTCATTTATGTTCATGCCATATAAAAGTCACTGGTCCCAGCTAGTCCACATCATAAAGTGCCCAGTGCTCAGCTGTTGGCGGAGTTGAGCTGGTGTGTCCTGGACAGGTCTCTGGACTCTGAATATTGAGCACACAGGGTTTAACTTGGAGGACAGCTTGTAAAGATGAAGAGGAAGAAGGCCTTTAGGGGTGGGGACTCAGATATGTTCTCACTGTTTGTCTTCACTATTTCTAGCTTCAAAAAGTGTCCTCACAGTGAAGGACCAAAGGGTGGTAGCTGGATGTGGTCGTGTTCAATGCCTGCAAGGAGCAAGCAGCAGCCAGGATCTGAGGGTGGTCATCTGTAGTACATGCCTCAAGTTCCTGAGTGCTGTGGGGCTGGGCATGAGCACACCTGCTGGCTGCTAGCTGCTTTCAGCTCTCTGAACTCTTCTTTTTGGATTTATTCACCTCTGGTTCATCCGTGTGCAATTTAGAGTGTAGCTTAATCAACCTAATGTGTATAACTGTAAATATGATAAACTGTGAGGGATAATTAGGTGAAGTAGTGGGAGAAATTTCTTAAAGTGGGTTTACTCCTAAGGGGCTCGTAATTTGGAGTGAGGGCTCACCACTCCAATGGCACTCTGGTCTCGCTGGCTACAGCGCCTGGGGACAGAGCAGCAGAACCCCGACACAGGGTCTGAACAGCTTCTTGCAGAAAACTGAGGTTTCAGTTAGACCAAACAACACTGGATTTGCACTAAACTCTGAGCTGCTCTGCACAAGTCAGGATGCATTCACACAATGTCCCCACAGTCACTCAGTGAGTGACTTCCAGATGCTTTTGCCCAGAGCTAGACTAGAAACCACTGCTCATTGCTACAAACATAGATTGCAGAATCCATTGCTGCAATAATGCAGCAGGGAGCCCTCAAATGACAGGAATATCTTCCTATAGCAGCAAAAACTCTTTCAACTCCCAGCAGCAGAGCTGTCATCTCTTGGGTGCAGCCCATAATCATTTGTTGCTGTATCCGCTACTAGGAAGAAGAAAAAGCAGTAGTGACAATAATCTGAATTCTGGATTGGCCTGAATTTTAGACCAAGTAACTCTCCAGTTCTTAATAAAATTAGCCATTTCTGAAATCTGTAGGATAATATAGGAGTTACTGTCATTCTCTCAGAAATGGTTTGGATGGTGACAGGGAGAGCTCAGGGGCACTTCACTGCAGTTAGCCTGGGGCAAGCTGCACCCTTTCTTTATTGCATTTGTGCTTCTTTGCCTTTCCAGAGCGTCCCGTATTTGACTCTGCTGTAGCTGTCCAGTGGCACCTCAGTAATACCCAGGTGTTGCTCACTCTGGGATCAGGAGTAATACCCAGAAAGTAGAGCAGCACTGTGCCCATGTGATTTGGTTTCTTACATCAAACACTGTGTTGAGTTATTGGCACTGAGAATCCATCTCAATGCTAGGTGGGTGAGATTTCCAAAGTGAGCAGAGGCAGCTGCGGAATCTCC